AATACCTATACATCGTACATGATGCAATATTGATTTCTGTGTGGGTGAATTATAATGATAGGTCTTAAGACGGTACACTGGATGAATTATTAGCTCCCATTGATGGTATAGTGATCATGAGTTTTTTTATTTTTAACATCTAGTATCCTGAATAATAGTGGGGCTTAGTTTGTCACTTATCTCCAGAACTGGGTTACCTAACATTATATCACCCATATAATCAAATTATACATGTTGATAAACCCATTATGAAATCCTTTATATATCATTACAATTGTACTAATTATGGGATTACTGGATCCATAACTATAGTTATCAATTATGTTTAATTATATGAATAATTGATTGGCAAATGCTCTTACTTTTCATATTTAATATGGCAGTACTCAATGTTTTACAACATATGATGTTTTAAATATATATGTATGAAGTATATATGACATTAAGGAAGAAATTATTTAGTGTTAAGGTTTGTTAGAGATATATTTACCGTAGTTACATCAGACCTGGATCTAAACATTTCTCAGTAAGGATGAAGTGTCAATATATTATAGTGCTATTTTTTATTTGTTGATAATGAACAGAATATTTGTGTGTTAGTTTGTTATTTGTACAGTGAAGGGATTAAATTGGCTGCATACAGCATGTTTGTATTTATTTTTTTAATGTTTTTTATGCATTAGGTCCCATTCACATGGGGCAGATCTACTTTGATCTGTCTGCTGATCCCCTGCTGGTTGAAGCAGAGCAGGTGAATGGCAGGTCGGAGCGGACACGGGCTCAGCCCGTTCTGTTCCATGGGCAGTAAGGTGTCAATGGACCAGCTGTCTGTTTTCACCCAACGTCACTACCGTCCTGGAGTTTTGTTTTCCCTGTGCCTGAGTAGGTTTCCTCTGGGTACTCTGGTTTCCTCCCAAACTCCAAAAGGCATGCCAGTAGGTTAATTGGCTCCTGACTAACTTGACCCTAGTATGTTTATGTATGAATGTGAGTTAGAGACTTTAGATTGTAAGCAGCTTTGGGGCAAGATTTGAATGTACAATACATATATATATATATATATATATATATATAAAGCGCTACGTAAATTGTTGCCTGAAAAATATATAAAATACTGACACTTCCTATGGTGATATAGTCTAAGGCTAGGTTCACACCCATGTGGCCATACAGGCTGCAATTTGCACGGGCACAAGAGCCCATTCATTTGAATGGGCTGCCATGCCCAGGACACACAGGAAAGAATTCCCCGCAGTATTTTTGAAATCGCACTGTGGTTCCCAGTACTGTTGAGATTTCCAGTGCGGGTGGAATGCCGTTAGGATTAAGGGCACCCACCCGCGGGTCTCGCATTTCTCTGTCTGGGTGGTTGCAGCTGCCGGTATATCAGCAGGTTCCGCATCACCCGCACAGATGTGAACCTAGCCTAAGACAGGATTCCCCTTATATTGAAGACATTGGGTTTTTCTTCCTGCTGTGTCTGCTGGGGCTAGAGGAAAGGAGGTGAAGACAAATCCCCCCTATGGAAAACAGATTCCCTACAACTTATCAACAACTAGAAAAAAAGGTTTGGGCTTTAGATGTACTGCACGCTATGTCCATCTCTGAGCTAAGCTCTTCCCCCAGCATTCAAGAGACTAATGTAATGCAGGCCATATACGGGGAGAAAACCGGACGTTTTTTTTTAACAAAAAAAATGAAAAATCGGTCGTTCAATAGGCCGACGTTACCACCAACAGTAAAAAAAAACGTCCAATTTTCTTCCCGTCTACGGCCGGCATTTAATTACTTCTGTCACTGCAGAGAGCCCCGCTATTATATTTGACATTAAAGAGTATTGCGGTTGCAACATTGTATCTTTTTGTATCCATTTCTGATACAGATGGTTTTTCGGATACAAATAGATACATTGTTGCAACCGCAATACTTTTTAATGTCAAATATAATAGCAGACTGGAATTCTTCTTCTTTCTCTTCTTCTTTCTCTTCTTTCTCTTCTTCTTCTTTCTCTTCTTCTTTCTCTTCCCCTTCTTCTTCTTCCTCTTCCTCTTCTTCTTCCTCTTCCTCTTCTTCTTCTTTTTCTTGCAGGTCACGGCTCATGCGCAGATTTTTTTATCGGTAAAAAGATTTTTTCCAACTTTACCAATCAAAAAAATCTGACAAAATCCAGAAAAATGGCCAACCAATTAACCCATTAACGGTGCGAAAATCGGCCGATTTTTTTATGGCAGAAAAAATCGGCCAATTTTTGACCCATCTATGGCCTGCATAAGCCTGTACTGCCCCTGAGGTTCCTGAGTGATGGAGCTTAACTCCAAGCAGGGCTGAGGATGAGGCCCTCTGTTTAAATCTCAAGGGACTCCCTATATACAACAATTGGATTCAAGAATTAAACAAAAGAATTGCTTGCATTTTGACAGTATTGTTATCACGGTGACATTTATCAAACTGACATGTTCACTTCAATCTAAGACAAGCGCATTCTGGACTGCATGATTTGCATTTGATTAAAATGTCTATCCTCTAAAAGAACCTAGCATTAAAATTCATATTTCACATAAATCAACTTTGCATGTCAACATCACATCATTTTTTTTATTTAATTTGTGTAAATTACCTTCTTCACAGCATGATTAAAAAATGCTGCTTTCTTTACGATCATATAGTCTACAGCTACCAAAAAGCATTGTGGGTGTTTCATATCATTAAAAACTGCAGAGTCTCTTGTCTGCATCTTCTATAGTATACTTTAAATGAGATAAGAGAATCAGCAAAGGACCACATTGTGCAATTAAAGTGTTACTAAACCCAGGACCTTGCATTCACTATATAAACTGCTAAATACCTTTTCTCATCAGCAGTTAGAGCAGTCTTGTGACTTCTATCAGTGTCCAGCAGAACACTGGTTAAAGCTTGTAGGAGGAGTTTTCATTCTTCCCTGAATGTCCTATGAGGCTGCAGGACCCCTAACCCTCGGTCTGGACAGTGCTTATCACATGCACTCTACCCCGGAAAAAAAAAAAACTCTCTAGCAATACACACCAAACTGAGCATGTGCAGTTTGCCCCCAAGGCTCTGTTCTATCAGCGGATAGATTGGGGAAAAAGGGGAGGATCATAGAAGAGAGGTTCCACACAGGGGCGGACTGACCATTTGGAAACTCGGGCACTGCCCGAGGGCCCGGGGTCAGTAGGGGGCCCCATGAGATTCCCCTGGTACCTTTTTCATAGGCTTTTTTGAGTTTGGGCAAGGACACAGGGGACCCATGATCCCCTATTGCCTGGGGGCCCCATGAGTTGTCAGTCCACCCCTGGTTCCACAGTGAGTATAACAAGCATGCTTTACTGCATGTACAGACTGATTTTACTGTTGTGGGTTTTGTATGTTCTGGGGAGAGTGCATGATGTGTTGCGGTGCGGTACCAATGTACTGAGAGCTGCCAGAGCGGTAAAGCACTTGGCAGCTTTCTGTTCAGTGTGAATTAAGTGCTTATCAGGCTGTTGTTTACAGGCTCTGTAGCTCAATATGCAATATATATACAGAACTAAATGACTCATAAACAGCAAAGCCTTCCTAAACAGATGCCTCCGTCCAATGTTTCAATCAAACAAAGGCAGATGCCAGTTAGTCTGTTACTGCTGTTTTGTCTCTTTAGACATCCCATTGTGCTCTGGGAATTTTTTGTGATATATTAAATTTTATATGCAAAGCAAATGTGGTAAACTTAAAAAAAAGTGAAATATTTGTTTGAAAAGTGATTCTGCACAGTGCATTTTATCACAGCATGCTGCATTGCAGTGCGAACGGGACACAGGAAACATGTTTCCTGTGTTTCCTTGCAGTGACAGACTTTTTAAAATACAATAAAACTCCTATCACTGCAGCATGTGTGAATTCAGCTTTTAGAATACACATTAAAAATCATTGTTAGTAAGAAAAATTACAAAATTGCATATTTAACTGGTTAAAAATTGTGTAAATGTTTAAATTCCTTTAAAAGAGAATATATATTCTAATCAGTAAATTCATTATGCATAACAGGGGCGGACTGACCATTTGGAAACTCGGGCACTGCCCGAGGGCCCGGGGTCAGTAGGGGGCCCCATGAGATGCCCCTGGTACCTTTTTCATACGCTTTTTTGAGTTTGGGCAAGGACACAGGGGCCCCATGATCCCCTATTGCTGGGGGTCCCATGAGTTGTCAGTCCACCCCTGATGCATAACACACAGGTAAGCTTCTATTTACCTACAGAGTGGATGGAGCTTGTCACAAACAGCACAAGTGATATACAAACCACCACAGTGAGGCAAAGGGGTTGATTTACTAAAGGCAAATAGACTGTGCACTCTACAAGAGCAGTTGCGCCATAGTTTAGTAAACGAAGGGCAGTCTTGCTGACTTCCATCATCCAATCACATGCAATCAAAAATGCTGTTTTGTTTTTATTTTATTTTCTCTGCATGTGATTTGATATTCTTTGCAAAGTGAAGCTGTACCTCATTTACTATGCTCTGGAGCAACTGCACTTGTAGAGTTGAATTTCACTTTGCAAAGTGCAATGTCTATCTGCCTTTAGTAAATCAACCCCAAGGATTCCCCTTCAGTTTTTTTGGCTTGCTGTGCTGACCTGTGCTTTATGTGTACTACAATGTGCAGGGCACCAGCATGTGTTGGCTTTGTGCAGCACGTACAGCTGCTCATCTGTTGGCTGAATCTCCTTGTATCTGTTGAGCTCATTTGGCAAATGTGAAGTTTGTCAAATGCCTGTAAGCTCATCGAGGGTATATATACCATCATCATCTGGAAAAAAAACTGCTACAGCTGTCGAAATACTTGGAAATGTGTAATTATATGTTTAGCAGTCCACACCTGTACATGGAATGATTTTCTCCACCCTATACAGATATATACCTGTATGAATGCAAACACATTGTCATTGCAATGACAAATAGCATAGAGTATACGAGAGCACGGCTTTAGAAAGACTTTGGTCGAAACCATGTTCAGGAATCTGTGCTCAGGTGCCTTTTCACGGGCAGTTCTAGCTGAATTTTTAGGCACATTGTTATTTGTATTTTTTGGTCTTGGCAGTGCATTACATTGGCCCTCGGCAGTGCCCACTATCCTGCAGATCGCTCTAACCTTCGGACTAGCTATAGCAACGTTGGTCCAGACAATAGGACATGTCAGTGGTGCTCACATCAATCCTGCAGTAACATTGGGCTTACTGGTGGGATCACAGATCTCAGTCCTGAAGTGTGTCTTCTACATCCTAGCTCAGATGTTAGGAGCTGTGGCTGGAGCTGGCTTACTCTTTGAGTTCACCCCATCCAATATACGAGGGAGCTTCGGTGTCAACGCGGGTGAGTAAAAGGCGGGAGAGCCAACTGGGAGCAGTAACTTTAAATGTTAAATGTACAAGGCCAGTAATTGTTCTCTATGGATATTTAAACATTTTATTGTGATTATAGTCATGTGGGATAAAGAACATGCAATGAGAAATAGCCAGCCAATGGGGGAGATTTACTAAAACTGGTGCACTCAGAATCTGGTGCAGCTGTGCTTAGTAACCAATGAGCTTCTGACTTCAGCGTGTTCAAACAAGCTTTCTCAATAAAAACCTGGAAGCTGATTGGTTGCTATGCACCCCATTGAGCACTAATTTCAGTAAATCTACCCCAACAACATTTTTTTTTTTTATCTCTTACACAAAATCTTACTTTGTACGACACAACTTCTCTTTATACTGGCTTATTAGAAACCCATAACATGCTCTTCTGTCAATCTTAAATCAAAAGAATATAAACAGTCATGCAAAAAATTGCTTAATTAATATTATAAAGCCCAAAGTCCTGTGTTGAAAATTGGATTCTCACCTTAATGATTTAAGATCATTAAGGTGAGACGTGCACCAGGTGAAGAGCATATTTTTATAAGTTTGGTATTCAAACTTTTTTTTGGTTGTAGCACTCACACAGATAAAAAAAAAATTCTCATTAAGCACAAATACTTTTTACAATACCCATACATAGTATAATTATTAGGCAGAGAAGAGAGGAGCTGATGAGGGGTCTAGTTATTTATCTTGGGTGTAATATATTATTTATTTTTGACTGATTACTTTAGAAGATGAAGCATTAAGGTGGACCTTTTTTGGGAAAATATCTAAATAGCAGACAGCCACTTACAGACATTGCCACAATATGACCATGTTAAAGTATCTGCATAGGCAAAACGGTTTTGGATTAAATATGGAAGGGTTTAAAATATGTGCCAGTTTATTTTTTCTGTATGTGTACCTTTAGGAAAATTCCCCTTGTATCTTATCCCAAAAACAAAAAAGTAGAGGAAGTCCACATCTTGGAAAGTTGTCCCTGGAACTGGTGTCTCCAGTGGAAGATTTCCCTTCACCTCTTGTTCTGAGGACAACTCTAAAATTTTTCTCCTCAGTTTCCTTCTTAGTGACAATGGTCAGCAGTAGAAATAATGGGGTTAGTCTCCCTAATGGGGACACAGCCAGCAGTAAAAACTTGACAGAGGGTTTAGGCCTTCCCTATTATCCAAAACTGAAAAAGAAGTTTTGACCAGATATTTTATTGATTAGGTTTACATGTAGTTCTCTGGTTCACATCAGTGTGACTTGTCATGCAACTTGAGTGTTCAAAGTCGCATGATAAATCGCACTGGTGTGACGTGCCCCCATTACTGGCAATAGAACTGTCCCAATCTGTGCGACTCAACTTGTAGCGACTTTAAAAAAGGTTCCTGCACTATGTTTGTGCGACTTCATTGCAAAATTGCATTGATATTGGTTACATGAAGTCGAGTCGAATCTCGAGTCGAGCAACAATGAAGTTGCATTGAATATTCAGCTTTGAAGTTGCACAACATAGCATGATTTCAAAGCCACACTGGTGTGAACCAGGGCTAAAGAGGTACCAAGATTTGCTACAATATAATGCTGTCCTGGAAGTCTACCAGGAAATCACATGCTGAAATAGGGGTGGATTGACTAAAGACAAATAGACTGTGCACTTTGCAAGTGCAGTTACACTAATTTTTCCCCTAAGCTTAGTAAATGTAGTAAAGTTTCACTTTGCAAACAATATCCAATCAGGTGAAAGGAAAATAAAAGGAGCATATTTGCTTGCATATGATGGGATGTTGGAAATCAACAGAGCTTCACCGCATTTGCTAAGCTCTTGGGAAAATGAGCGCAACTGCAGTGCACAATCTATTTGCCCTTAGTAAATAGACTTTACGTGTGACTTCCTAGAACAGTACTTCTTGTGTTTTTTATTAATGTTTTTCTATTGATATAAGTGGTGAACTCTGTAATCTTCCCTCAGGAAAGCAGCAGTTAACTTCGATGTGACAGAACTCTAAAATAAGTACTAGTAAAATGCTACTGGAAAATGTCAAATTGTCATAAATGGTGTCAAAGTTACCCATTTAATATCAGAATTCTAGATTTCAACACAGTAAGTAGAGATAGTAAGCCTAAGGGAAGGAAGGTAATGTCCAGGAATAGTCTATACTGTCTTAAAAAGGGATGGAGTATTAAAACAACTTAATATTAGTCTTCATTTTTCACACTACATTATCATGTACTTGGTGTATGGATAAAGTTTAATTTGAAATGATAAATATGTTAAATAATAGAAAGAACTCACAGGGGGAGATTTAGTAAAACTGGTGCAGTCAGAATCTGATGCTGCTGTACATAGCAACCAATCAGCTTCTAACTTCAGCTTGTTCAATTAAACTTTGGCAATAAAACCTGGAAGTTGATTGGTTTCTATGCAGATTTGGAGCAGATATTGCACTCTCCAGTAAATAATTGCCAGTGTGTCCAAATGAGATATAATTGGTTACTTTTATCTGCAACAATAGTTCTAGCCTACTGTAGGCTGTCACAATGGTTGGTATAAGAGGCCACAGTATCCAAGGTGAATGTGACAGTGGTAGTGGGCACTGTTCTAGTTCTTTTGGTCCATTGCGTGCCTGAGTGATTTGAAGCACGTTTCCTGAAGAGCTTCAACATTCTACTTCAAGATTCTAATTATTCCATACAATGGTGCCCATTGACACCTGAGTGTTGTGACACTTGACGTTTGTCACTCAATGCTTGAAAAGTTACATGAGCTTTTTTACAGCAGAGGTACACATTTTGGTCCCTATAAATTTCAGAGCTCCTAAATACGCCTGAAAAAGTACATAAGGTGCGTTTTTCATGTCTTGCCTATCCTTCTCCCAGCAACTAGCGTTCCATTGGTTAAAACAAAAGAGTTCAAGCTAAAAACACCTAATAAATCCATGTACAAACACAAATAAAAAAAATGCTCCAAAAACACTTGAAGAAGCTCAAGCTCAGGTGTATACCTAGTCTAGTCCATGGCAGTTTTAATCTATTATTTTAGCTAAATGGGTAGCTAAGTAACATTCCCATATATTGTGAATTGTCATACCTCCTTGCGACTTCAGTTTGACAAATAAATTAAATTTAATCCTGGCTTTCATTGTGATTATAGGAATCTGGAAAGAGAGGATGGAATTGTTATGGAAAGAGTCTGCATCAAATAGAGAATGCTTGGTAGGACTACCAATTTGGTCATGACTCCACGGCCAAGCCATGAAAAATATCTTCTATTTCATTTCCACAGATATTTTTCTACAGTATTTAAGAGGGGAGGAATATTTTTATTATAGATGTTCTTTATTTTTGGGGGTCAGGGAATTACCCAGACACTTGAGTTTATGTACTTTTTTATATGATTTTTACTGCATGTGTTTTGTGTCAGTTTTGTTATCAATGACGAAGAACGCCAATCACATATTATTGCATGAGATTTCTTGCCAGAAACATATTCTACGTGTATTATATTGCATTTGCACTCATTCCTACAGAGAAATTATTATTATTATTATACAGTATTTATAAACTGCCAATAGTTCGCTCAGCGCTGTACATTACAAAGGGGACAGAACATGTGACAGAACAATACCAATACAATACAAAACATGAGGGGATCGAGGGCCCTGCTCTTTCGAGTTTACAATCTAGGAGGGAGGGGATGGTGGCACAGGAGGAGATAGCTGTGGGGGATGGAGTGGTAGGAAGAGTGGAGGAGGTCGACAAGTTAGGGGGTGGGGTAGGCTTCCCTGAAGAGATGGGTTTTCAGGGTGCGCCTAAAGGAGAGGAGAGTAGGTGATAATCTGATGGGTTGGGGCAGGGAGTTCCAGAGGATCGGTGACACCCTGGAGAAGTCCTGGAGGCGGGCATGGGAGGAGGAGACCAGGGAGCTAGAGAGAAGGAGGTCTTGTGAGGAGCGGAGTGTGCATGCTGGGTGGTACTTGGATATTAGGTCAGTGAGAAATGATAAAAGATAACATACTAAGGTGCAGCAGGAAGAATTTTCTAAAAACACTGTGAGGGGAACAACACCAATGATGTATATTGGACTGGAGCTGTAGACTTCCTGCAGTTTATTGTGGGGAATATCAGAACTTTGATTGGACTCATAGGGGGATATTTATAGGGAAGAAAGGATCTTTGCTAGACACCACAAAGTTACTCCATATTGAGGCATGCATTTTTACAATCCATAAAATGCGAAACGCATAACACATTTGGAGGCGAGGCTAAACACATGATTTTGACATATCAAGTCACCAGGCTAGCCTCCCAGGAATCCCAAAGTAAGTGGAACATTAAGAACCTTTTTAAAGCACATTGGTATGCTTTACAAAGAGGTTACCCATTTAAATGAATGATTTCAGTTATAATCAGGTTGATTGACCACTAGAATGCTGCCAGGCAAAATGGTGCATCTACCAAAAACTCAAATACCAGGTAGACTCAACCTTAAAGCCCCTAAAATAAAATACAATTCCAAGTATTTCACTGAGTTCTCAGCATCGTAAAATGTCTGTAATTAAAGCTACCCTTTATAGGTTACAACACCCTCCAATGTGAAATGATAATTCCTGTACAGGGCGTAGTTTATTCAGTATGGTGCATTAAGACTATGTTTCCAATCTATCTTCAGGTTAGCAATAGCACCACTACTGGACAAGCTTTAGCTGTGGAGCTCTTCACTACTATGCAGCTTGTGCTGTGTGTTTTCGGAACAACAGACAGCAGAAGAACAGACAACACAGGATTTCCAGCCTTATCCATTGGTTTATCGGTTGCTTTAGGGCATTTACTTGGGGTAAGTAAAATAAAAAAAATCATCTGTGCTATATCCTGTTTAACCACTTGACACCCAGAAGGTTTTACCCTCTTCATGACCAGGGCACCTACATGACCAGGGCATTTTGTGCCATTCAGCACAGAGCTACTTTAACTGGCAATTTCTCAGTGATGCAAAACTGTACCCAAATGAAATTTATATCATTTTTTTTCACACAAATTGGGCTTTCTTTTGGTGGTATATGATCTGGGTTTTTAAGTTTGTTTATTATTTAAACAAAAAAATACCAATCATTTTGAAAAACAAAAACATTTTCTAATTTCTGTTATAAAATATATCCAATAAAAAAATTGAAAAAATCTAATTTCTTCATAAATTTAGACCAAAATGTATTCTGCTACATGTTTTTGGTAAAAAAAAAACATTCCAATAAGTGTTTATTAATTCATTTTGTGTGAAAGTTATAGTGTTTAAAAACAATTATATATATATACGAAATATATATACTGGATATAACGCAGCTATAGATACTATACTGGTAATGGCAGTGATCAGACTTTTAGTGAGACTGTGATAGTGTGGTGGACACTAATATCAAAATAATAATGTAATAATGTGGTGGACACTAATACAGTGAAAAAGTATTAACTGTGTGCCTAACATGTGTAATGTGTGCTGTTTTTACTTGCAGATCTGACTGTTCACTGAAACAGCGAGATCGCTGATCTGTGTACAGAGCCCTGTGTGTTCGTAAACACAGCACTCTGTGCTGTGATTGGCTACAGCCAATCAGCTGGGACCTGCTGCCAAAATCCTGCTGTAGCCAGTGACAGCATGGGATAGCAGCAGGCGTGTGCATGCAAACCCCCAGCCTGGAAGAGCTTGGATGACATACATGTACATGATCCAGCCTGCCCATACTGCCCATACTGCCCGCCCACAGTAAATGTACTGTGGGCGGGCAAAAACTGGTTTTATAAAACTATGACATGTGAGGTCACTTTTATTGTAACTGTATACACTTTTAAACTGATAATATTTACTGTATATATACACACACATATATATATATATATATATATATATATATCTATGTATATATCTATATCACTTTTTACTATTGTATACTATTTTAATTTTTTTTATCAAAACAGCATAAAAACATTTTTTATTCTCTTCATAATTAAATGTGTGTAGCGAGAACAAGGAACAAGGAGTGGTATATTAAGTCACTCCTCGCAATCAGCTGTCGTTGTAATTTGACCTTCAGCTGCTAATTTCTAAAAAAAAAAAACAGGATGACCCTGATAAACATAGCAAATTAAGACTAGATCTCTATCTTTTGGTTAGAAAAAAAAAAAATTAAATGTTTCTGTTAAATATTTTATTTTTATTGTATTTTTAAAAAATCTGTCAGTATAGCAGCATGTAGTCTCTACCAGGGGTTCATGTGACTCGCTGAGGGTGACAACACAGGAACACATTTGAGAAACAATTGTCCCCATGGAACAGCTATTGTCTAAATGAGAACTTTCATGGCAGGATGAGAATAAATATTTTTAAAGAATGCTACAGTTTTAAAAAGATTTAATTACCAGGTTAAAACTTGTAGAAGATTTTAATGATTGGGTGTAGACCTAATTCAATTGTTGGCATCAAGTGTTACAAGTGGAGGTCCTCTTCTATGCAGTGGATATTTTTGAAACGATTATAACAGCACTATGATGATCATGGACAATTCCACAGTGGAGAGGGGGGCAGAGAAGAAGAAGAAGAATGGGAGCTGGGATAAACTGAAATATAACACTGTGAGGAGGAGACAGAGATGTCCATTGGGCAAAAGTTGATGGATTGACATGTCCAGTTAGACCTTTGTGTTTAGCACCTCAATTCCTAACTGTTATCTTGCCAGTTGGGCTGAGTATGTCTCAGCCATTCAAGAGAAGCTTTGTATTTTTTCTGTTAATTCAAGACTTCTTCTGATTGGCCATGGTGGGAATCACAACGTCATTGGCTCTCCTCTTCACCTCAACCAATCAGGGGAAACTATGTATTTATTGATAAAAAAAACATTGCTTCTTCTGAATGGCTGAAAGCACTCAGCCCGACTTTTTAAAGTGATAGGAAAGCTGAAATTTTACTTTATAGCATATATGAAATTCTAGTGATTTGGTGAACATATTTTAATAAACTCTTAGGTATTATTGCAGATGTTTAGTATCTAATGTTGTTCTATTTTGGTTTGTCTTGTGCTTAGATCTATTTCACTGGCTGTTCCATGAACCCTGCAAGGTCTTTTGGCCCTGCTATAATTACAGGAAATTTTGAATCACACTGGGTAAGGATGTTTGCAACTTTGACTGTATTACCTCCACATACCTGTGGCTGTGCTGCCTGGCAGAGCTCTGTTAATACCATCACTGGTTGGGCAAAATTACAAAACTCTTTCTGATAAAACAGCTCCTATATATTTATTTCAACTGTGTATTGAACTGGAAATGAGGGGGTAACTCTCAAAGGGAAAGGATACAGCATTAACTCTTTCCCTCTATAACAAAAATATACATGTCCCCTATGGAGATGTTTGGTGACCACACATAGCTGCAGTGAAATCTCATCATTAAGGGTCTATTAACACAAGGTGCAGTAGGACTATTGTTTAAAAAAAAAAGTATCCAGTGTAATGATCCACTATCAGGGCACTGGCACTAAAGTCTTTCCACTGCATCACAGTGCACATCAGTCGCTGCGTTGTAATGCAGCAGTTGGTGTGAATAGACATTCAAACCTACTAGATATAGTAAGATAAAGAAGAAAAAGTTAAATTCAATGTCAGATTTAGTACTTTTATGTTTAGAAGACTAATTGACATGCATGCTTAATATACTACTATGTGCATAGAAGAGTAGCTGTATTGAGATACAGCAAGGACATAATAAAACATATCCTACTTTAATGCAAATACTAATACCTGTACCAAATTACTAATATTTGGAGTTGTATGATCTTGTTACGATGATGCTGTCAACTAAATGTACTGAAGAAAGCTGTGTTGAAAAGATTTAATTTGTATTTATGCTTAATCACAGGTCTTCTGGGTTGGCCCCATGTGCGGTGCGATCTTTGCTGCCTTAATCTATAATTATCTTCTTACGCCACCTGCACAAAATATCTTAGATAGATTGTCCATCCTGCATGGTAGCTTTGATCCAGAGCATGAACGTGAAAGAGAGGAACACCGCAAGCACTCAGTGGAACTGAATTCTCTTCACAGTTATTCAAAGAACATGGAAAAAGCATAAGGTCGGTGATAAAGAATGCATAAATATACCAGGAATTACATCAAGAGAAAAATTGAGAACATCAGCATACTCAAAACGTACTTCCGATACAAACAGCCATGTTATGGACTCATTGCACTGGAAAAAAGCCACTCTTGGCTAAGGTCTTATAGTTGTACCTGGAATCCTGAGACTTGTTATGGTAACCAGAACTCTACTTATGGGGACACGAAGAACCTTTATTCCTCAACAATGTACTGTTCTTAATTTGAATAGGAGCCCTGGAGATATTTTACACCCAAAATCAACAATTTGACATACCAAATAATGGTGGGAAATGAAGCTATCATTAAGCTCTTCTCTGAACCTTAGTCTGTTAAAAAAAACGGTGCATTGTAGACCAATCATTCTCATCCAAGCATCAATGGAAGCCTCAGGTTTTTACAAATTTTCCTAGGGATGATTGACCTCTCTTCTGATGGTGTCTGCATAATTCATTTGGCAGAGCCAGATGAATCACACCAATAATCTTTTAGCCATCTATATGGCTGAAATTCTGAACGTGATTCAAAGGGGTGCATTTTTTCCATTGACCACAGTGTAAGAGCCATTTTATCCACTGACCCCGAAGGATTAGTTTAGCTAGGGTTCCCAGAGACCTGAAAATTATTTCAAGGGTTCCTCTGGGACAAAAGGGTTGAGAAAGGCTGTTCTAGACCACAATTATTCATGAGAATTCAGCCTATTTAGTCATTACTAGTCATCATTTGGGCTTTAAAATCAGTTTAATAGACAAATTAGCTCATTGATGTCACTGTTAGTATTGAACTATAGAACTTCCCGTAGCTCCATGTAAGTATCAGAAGACTACATTCTCACATAGATTTGATCAGCCTGAAAAATCGATGCCACTGCTGGATTTAGACAGGTGCACTTTAGTTAATGTAACAAAATAACCAACTGTCTGCTTTTATTGGGATGTTCAAAGAATAGACATATTTGTATAAAAAAAGCCCTTCTCATTTTTACTTTTGTTTTTATTATTAATTTTAACCATAATGGGATAGTCCACCCAAAGGTCAAATATTTATAATAGGTTGATATTCCCTCCTTTCTTGTTGTATTCTTTTCATAATATAAATTAAAATAAAATTCAACAATGAGAGTGAAACCACCTGCAATTGCACAACAGGTACACAGAAATGAGAGATAAATGAAACCATTAATTTACTATTTCAGAACATAGCAACAATTAAAGTTTGGGTGGACAAACCTAAATGGGCGGGCTATTTAATTGCATGTATGTGTTGTATATAAAGTGACTGCATGTTGTAGATGAGCTGCTGCATATTAAGTGATATTTTATCAATAGTACATTATGTTTAATGCTTATCAAAAAAGGTTGTTGTCTGATCACTTTAAACTGGACACGATGGGGTTGATTTATTATAGCTGGAGCGTGCAAAATCTGGTGCAGCTGTGCATGGTAGCCAATCAGCTTCTGACTTCAGCTTGTTCAATAAAGATTTGACAAAAAAAATCTGGAAGCTGATTGGTTTCTTTATAGAGCTTCACCAGATTTTACACCATGCAGTTTTAGTAAATCAACCCCAATAATTCTAGTTAGCACTTTTTAAAAATAAATAAAATCTTGGCTATTTTATCCCTATGGCATTTATGTGTTATTTATATCATTGGCCTTGTTTATCAAAGTCCAGGATAAGAACTAACTGTGCATTTCCTAATTAACCAATCACATTCAATCCTGCTTGTGGAAAATGATAGTTTGCGTGATAAAAACGTTGAGACTGGCTGCTTGCCATCTTAGAACACAGACAGGTCTTATTTAACTTGACTTTAATAAACATGGCACTTGGCTGCAAGCAACATTGGTGACATTCCAGAGCAAGTGGTATTGGTGACAATCCTTCTAATAGTACAGACACACACATAAGAAGTTATTATTTAAAGTTGTTTTGTTAAACTTCACACCTGTTTTGATCAAGATCTCTATGAATATCTCTTTTCTTTTGTGAATCCAAGCCAAATATTTTGTTCTGGTTTCCTTTTAATTATATATTGTACTTTGAATATTTATATTGAATACAGTGGGGTTCCACTCCTGCCAGAGTTTAGGAACACTAAATTAGGGTGTTGGATTCCCTTGACGTAACCTATAACCACACAACCTCATCTGCTCTCAGAAACACACAATTATATATTGTACTTTAAATATTTATATTGAATTTACTTACACTTACAGTGGGGTTCCACTCCTGCCAGAGTTTAGGAACACTAAATTAGGGTGTTGGATTCCCTTGACGTAACCTATAACCACACAACCTCATCTGCTCTCAGAAACACACCTCCACTACAATCACCATTTTTACATAGAACATTTTTTGTACTGTTCTTAAAGTGACCCTTTTATTGCCTATGTCTCATACAGCCTACCTGACAGGCCACCCTACCCCCAACACCCAGAGGAGAGAAAAGAGGTAATATGCAAAATCCTAACACTGACGTACAAAGCTGTCCACCATACTGCCCCGAACTACATCACTGACCTAATATCCAAGTACCGCCCAGCACGCACACTCCGCTCCTCACAAGACCTCCTTCCCTCTAGTTCCCTGGTCTCCTCCTCCCATGCCCGCCTCCAGGACTTCTCCAGAGTGTCACCCATCCTCTGGAACTCCCTGCCCCAACCCATCAGATTATCACCTACTCTCCTCTCCTTTAGGCGCACCCTGAAAACCCATCTCTTCAGGGAAGCCTACACCACCCCCTGCTAACTTGTCGACTTCCTCCACTCTTCCTACCACTCCATCCCCCACAGCTATCTCCTCCTGTACCACTATCCCCTCCCTCCTAGATTGTAAGCTCGAAAGAGCAGGGCCCTCGATCCCCTCATGTTTTGCATTGTATTGGTATTGTTCTGTCCCCCTTTGTAATGTACAGTGCTGAGCGAACTATTGGCGCTTTATAAATACTGTATAATAATAATAATAATATAATAATATGCAGAGGCAAACTATGGGTGCAGAAAAATTGAGCTATTATTTTTTTATTACAGGTACTGATATAGCAGTGTCAATTTATGCAGTGCTTTACACTTATATATTGTACATATACATCAGTCCCTAACCCTCAAGGGGCGTACAATCTCAAGTCCCTAACTTACACTCAAACATATATATACCAGGGCCAATTTAGACAGGAGCCAATTAACCTACCAGCATGTCTTTGGAGTTGTAGGGGCTTACAATTTGAGCATACATACAGAGCAAAGGGGTTAGAAGTATATAATTACAGCGTGCATGTGTAAAGAATATGTAACATACAGAGTAAAGGAGTCTGCAGTAGGTAATGCAGAACAGCAGGGTTCAGGTGTTTGTAATGTATATAGTGCAGGGGACAGGAGTATGTAATGTACAGTACATAATGCAGGGGTCAGGATATGTAATGCACAGACTTAAGGGGTCAGATGTGTGTAATGTACAGAGTACAGGTGTCAGGAGTATGTAATGTACATAGTGCTGTGGTTAGGTGTATGTAATGTACACAGTGCAGGGGTCAGATGTATATACTATAGCCCAGCACACAGCACACCATCATTTCACAACGACCCCCCTTTTGCATGGTGTAGCAGTACCCCCTATGCATACAAACACACTGTATACACACATACACAGCATTCTCACTTATACACACAATATGACCTCACCAGCCACATTATTAGGTACAACTCGAATAATTAATTTCAGAAGAAAACAGCGAGCGCTTTAAAGATGGGAACAGCTAGCATAAGAGATAGTGACAAAAATCTCAATGGACAAAGTATATAAAAAAAGTGCACCGCGTCAAAACAAATAAAGTGAATAATTAGACAATATACAAATTAAATATAAATGAATCTCAGTGTAATTAACAAAATAGTTAACAATAAAGTCCTTTCAATGTAAATCTGTATGTTTTTGGTGTGTTGATATCAATCACGGCAGATAGTGTTCAGTCCCACCCAGTGCTCTGAAATCCAATGTGTGATCCATCACCACTATGCACTCACCAGAGAGCTACTTGTTCAGTAGAATGTATGTCATGGGGTCTATAGCATCCACTCTTTGGCAACTCTTCTAGTTTGGATTTCAGAGCACTGTGTGGGACTGAACACTATCTGCTGTGATTGATATCAACACACCACATACATACAAATTTACATTGGAAGGACTTTATTGTTAACTATTTTGTTGGTTACACTGAGATTCATTTATATTTAATTTGTTTATTGCCTCATTATTCACTTTATATGTTTTCACACGCTGCACTTTTTTCATATATTAGGTACTCCTGTTCAATTGCTTGGTAACACAAATTGGTAATCTGCCAATGCATTTAGGCATCTAGACCTGGTGAAGATGACTTGCTGAAGTTCAAACCGAGCATCAGAATGGGGAAGAAATGGGATTTAAGTGACTTAGAACGTGCCATGGTTTTAGCTCTCAGACGGGCTGGTCTGAGTATTTCAAAAACTACTGATCTACTGGGATTTTCATGCACAACATCTCTAGGGTTTACAGAGGATGCCCTGAAAAAGAGAAAATATCTCGTGAACGGCAATTGTGTGGACAAAAATGCCTTGTTGATGTCAGAGGAGAATGGGTAGACTGGTTCAAGATGATAGAAAGCCAACAGTAGGGTCAACATTTGCCGCATACAACACGAAAACATGGATTGCCTTGTATCAACGGTTCAGGCTGCTGGAGGTGGTTTAATGGTGTGGCGGATATTTTCTTGGCACTAGGAAGGTGTACCAAAGAAAGTGGCTGGTGAGTGTACACACACAATTACCCCCCTGGAGACATTGCTGGCTGTCACTTAAGCCCTTTCAGCTTCATCCGCTAGCATTGGATGCATTGGAATGGCAGTGCTCAGGATGAGCAGTATAACAGGCTGTGCCTACAAAAGACTGGGCAGAGAGCACAAGGGCAGGAGTAGAAGCTGGTGAGCAAGAACAGGAGCAGATCTGGGACAGAGTGCAGAGACCTAATTGTTTGGAGCCATGGGAATGCTCTCCTGCATCCAAAAATTATTAAAGGGAAACCTCACTCCCACTTATGTTTCCTCCCTTATCTTTTTTTGCTGTGTTATCCACATAAAAAACATACTCTCATGGCCAGAAAATCCAGCTGTGTTCTGTACTGATCTGCAACTCCACTGCTACAAACCTTGTCCTTTGCCTCTGACATCATCAGGAGCCGGCTGTCTTTTCTGAGTTTTTACAGCCAGCCCTCAGATGACATGCATGCATTGTGGCACATCATCAGGGTGGGGAGCAGCTTCAAGAACCAGGAAGAGACAGCTAACTGCATGAACCGTCCATTGTAAGGAGAGATGAGGGTTAGTCAGTGTCACCGATAGGGAGTAGAGCCAGTCTTCCTGTACTGGACCCTGAACCCCATCATTTCAGCAGGGTGCAAAGTGGCTGAGAGTTACTCTGGGTGTAGGTGGAGTAACCCTGTTGCTCCCTCAATCAAAGAAAAATTCCCTTGGTCCCATCAGGTCAGCAGTCGACCTAGAAGAAGAGGGAACTATTTACTCATTTTGGGAGCAGGAGGAGTAATCTTCATGGCTACCAGCAATTAAATTAAACTTCCAGCCTCGGCTTCTATATCATTTTGTTGAGTCTGATAGAGAACTATTTTCCTCTTTGTCCTTGGGCTGAACAGATGGTATAAAGAGAAAGAAAGGAAGAGGGTGCAACGGCCTAGTGCATTATCCTCAAAGCTTCACTATTGATAAAAACTGCAGTAACATACTCACAAACCAACTGATATGTAAGAGCTTGTCATAATAAAATTGCAAGTTCCAGCCTGCGGAACATAATGACTGGTGGTAGAACATGAAAGGACCCAACTTGCTGACACGTTTCGAGGCCTTGCCTTTTCCTCAGAGCCATCCACAAAGCAATGTAATAGGCCGGTGCACCCTCTTCCTTTCTTTATCTTTATAGCATTCATAGACTTTCCCCTGTCTTTGAGAGGGCAGCGAGACATGACTTATCCGGCAGATTCAAGAGTGAAGCCTAAGCAATTATTATGATCTGGGGCCACATCTGAGCACAGGAGACTGTGTGGATTCATCCACTGCATCTGCTGAACAGATGGGCCTGGGGAACTATTCTTTGCTTGCTGGTAGCTGTGCCCCAAGATACCTAAAAAGACTCCTCTTTCCCTGGGCCTCTTGAACTGGTGGGGCCAGAAGCATAACGGGAACTTTTTAAAGTGGACCCTTACCTTCCATACTCACTTTCCATAATTCCACTCCTACCCCCTCCTCTTTTTCAATGTGTTTTAAAAACTAATACAAAAACAAAAATGAAGATACTACTGTAATGTTACATTATACAGAATCTGTCTGTTTTCAAATTTGCAGTAGTGATTAATAATTTATGTATAGACTATTTAATTTGGTTTGTATAAGCATGTAAATTAAAGCAACTTGATGTAAGTATACTTATTAGTGCAAGCTTTCTTTTTTTACTTTTATCTGTTTATATTATCATACTGTATATACAACGTTATACATGGTTGCAGACGGGCGGACTGACCATTTGGAAACTCGGACACTGACCGAGGGCCCGGGGTCAGTAGGTGGCCCCATGAGATGCCCCTGGTACCTTGTTCATAGGCTTTTTTGAGTTTTGGCAAGAACACAGGGGCCCCATGATCCCCTATTGCCCGGGGGCCCCATGAGTTGTCAGTCCGCCCCTGGTTGCAGACCTATTTGCCCATTATATTGTCAGGCTCTACTTTCTGCTTTGCAGTGCTACAGAATGGTTGCTCTCTACAGTTCCTTCTCAAAATGGAAAGCTATGGGGTTTATTTACTAAAGGAGTAGATAATGTTCACTTAGTTGAGTTAAAGTGATATTAAAAGGCATTAAAAAAAAAATAACAAACATGTCATACTTACCTGTTCTGCGCAGTGGTTTTTGCACAGAGCAGCCCCAATCCTCCGCTTAGGTAAGTATTAGAGGGGGCACACAGATTTTTTTACCTTCATACATAGAATGCAGGAAAGTAAAAAACCTTCAGCCTTTACAACCACTTTAAGATAAATCTTCAATCATCCAATCATGTGGGAAAGCATAAATCCCATTTTTTAATTTCCCTTGAACTCAGCTGGGTTTTCAAAGTGAAGAAAGCTTTAATTTATTCTCTACTCCTTTTATAAATGAACTTCTCTTTCTTCATTTCCTTTGCATGTGACTATTCAAAGTGAATTTAGCTGCACTTTGTTCTCTACTCCTTTACTAAATTAACCCCTTTTAGACAACTGACCCATTGAAACAATGCACTTCCTGTGTGCTTGATATCGTAATGGTTAATAGAGATAATTGCACCGAGCCTGGTAGAGCTCCCACTGGTGGCTAATCTACAAATGTCTATATTCACCACAATATTCAGCAAAAAGCAAGCTTGTTATAAATGTGAATGTCACAACAAAAACTACCTTAATGCAAACTGTGCAAAAATATTTCAAATGATGCACTCACTTAAAATATACACTGCTCAAAAAAATTAAAGGAACAATTTGAAAACACATCAGATCTCAATGGGGAAAAATATCATGCTGGATATCGCTATTGATATGGACTGGGTAATGTGTTAGGAACATAAGGATGCCCTATCATTTGATTGAAATGAAAATGATCAACCTATAGAGAACTGAATTCAAAGACACCCCAAAAATGAAACAGCCCAAAGTGAAAAAATTATGCAGCAGGCAAGTCCATTTTGCTAAAATTTCATTGCAGCAACTCAAAATGGTACTCGGTAGTTTGTATGGCCTCCACGTGCTTGTATGCATGCCTGACAACTTCGGGGCATGCTCCTAATGAGGTGACGGATGATGTCCTGGGGTATTTCCTCCCAGATCTGGACCAGGGCATCACTGAGCTCCTGGACAGTCTGAGGTGCAACCTGGTGGCGTCGGATGGACCGAAACATGATATCCCAGAGGTGTTCTATTGGATTTAGGTCAGGCGAGCATGGGGGTCATTCAGTGGTATAAATTCCTTCATCCTCCAGGAACTGCCTTCATACTCTCACCACATGAGGCTGGGCATTGTTGTGCAGCAGGAGGAACCCAGGACCCACTGCACCAGCATAGGGTTTGACAATGGGTCCAACGATTTCATCCCAATACCTAATGGCAGTCAGGGTGCCATTGTCTAGCCTGTAGAGGTCTGTGCGTCCCTCCATGGATATGCTTTCCCAGACCATCACTGACCCACCCCCAAAATGGTCATGCTGAATGATGTTACAGACAGCATAATGTTCTCTACGACTTCTCCAGACCCTTTCAAGTCTGTCACATGTGTACAGGGTGAACCTGCTCTCATCACAGGGTGCCAGTGGTGGATCTGCCAATTCTGGTGTTCAATGGCAAATGCCAATCAAGCTCTATAGTGCCGTGTAGTGAGCACAGGGCCCACTAGAGGATATTGGGCCCTCAGGCCACCCTCATGAAGTCTGTTTCTGATTGATTGGTTAGAGACATTGACACCAATGGCCTGCTGGAGGTCATTTTGTAGGGCTCTGGCAGTGCTCATCCTGTTACTCCTTGCACAAAGGAGCAGATACCGGTCCTGCTGATGTGTTAAGGACCTTCCATGGCCCTGTCCAGCTCTCCTAGAGTAACTGCCTGTCTCCTGGAATCTCCTCCATGCTCTTGAGACTGTGCTGGGAGACACAGCAAATCTTCTTGCAATGGTGCGTATTGATGTGCCATCCTGGAGGAGTTGGATTGCCTGTGCAACCTCTGTGGGGTCCAGGTATCGCCTCATGCTACCAGTAGTGACACTGACCCTAGCCAAATACAAAACTAGTGAAATACAGTCAGAAAAGATGAGTAGGGAAGAAAATGTCAGTGGTCTCCACCTGTAAAACCATTCCTGTTTTGGGGGTCATCTAATTTTTGCCCATCTAGTGCACCTGTTGTTAATTTCATTAACACCAAACCAGATGAAACTAACAACCCCCTCTGCTACTTAACTGACCAGATCAATATCCCAGGAGTTTTATGAATTTGATGCTATACTCTGATTAAAATGTGTTCCTTTAATTGTTTTGAGCAGTGTATCTTCTATAGGCAACCTGTACTACCCACTGTAGTGCACTTTTTTGGGCTTTTTTTGCCTTCAGAGAAACAAATCATTCTCTGTTGGTCACTGTGGCAAACTAAAGTTACTGCTTTCATTGGCACATACTTTTACAGGCAGGTCATATATTAGGGATTTCCTGAAATCTGTTTCACTGGGACAAGAAGCACATGCCTGCTCCAAAGGAGAGTCTGGAAATGACCTCTTGGAGATACTTTCATATAGAAATAGTAAAATCATGTGTATGGGTTTTTAAGGATGAACTCTAGGCAAACATTTAAAGTGGAACAAAACCTTTTTATTATTTTCAGCCAAGGAAACTGCCATCTTAAGCTTTGTACACACAATGAGAATATCGGACAACAAATACTGTTTTCAGAGCAATAGTCCAATAATCTGATCGTTAGTACACAGCTTTCGAGAGCTGATAAAGATTCAAAGCTGATTCAACCAATTTTCGTTTAATCAGTACAGTATTCGTCCGTAAAAGAGTGACCAGGACCACACATGTGCAGCATACATAGCAATAAAATACAATACATCACTTCCAAAGCTGTATGTTGTCACCCAAGAATTTTTGCAACCTTAGTATCCTCTTCATTTTCGATATGAGACTAGCATGTACAATAAAAAAAAAGCGGAGAATCATTTGTCCGATATTCTCATGGTGTGCACTAGGCATTAGCTTCTGTTTGATCTGCAACTGCCATGGTGATGCACATGTGATCACTTAGGACAGCGGCCATTTAATGGTTTGACAATTTGGCTGAGAGCACAAACAAATATGACAGTTACATTGCTGGCATGTCAGGAATTTACCTATTTTTTAAACCTTTAAATCAATGAATTTATTTCCACTTTAAAGCACAATTCTAGTAAAGAATAAAAAAAGTCCAGCTTAAGATAAAATAAAGAAGGATCTGTTTTTGTTTCAATACTCTCTTTTAATTTGGAGCTGTCCCGCACAAAACATTTGTACCACTACAAAATCTGCAAGTCTTTAAGCCACCACCATTCAACCCAATTTTTCATAGTCCAGTTTATGACTGGACAGCCAAGGAGAAACAGCACAGTAATCAGCTCATCATACTGCTCTCTCCTACTATCAGCATGCCCCTTTTCATTAACTGACCAGTTCTGTGTGCTGCTTCTGCTTCTTCCACTCTGAGCTCTGCTATACTGGGAACGCAAAAGGCTAATACCAATCCCATTTAGGTACTTATATGCCCCTAAATGTAAAAGCATACATTTAATGATGTATTAATGAATACAGAACTGCATTCATTTCTATCTATTATCGATGACAATAAATCTCGCATTGACCCATGTGCTCATGTATAGTACGCTGTCACAGTTCCCTCTGAAATATCTAATACACAATACAGATGACTGAACTGGTAATTAACATGTGCTAAATTAAATTGCTGATAGATGTAAAAATAAAATCTAAGTATCTTAAAAATAAAACTGCCATTCATTTTATTGGTGCCCACATAAACAATTGACACTTGGTCCATTCTTGTTATTGCCCCAGAGGTCATATAACATTGAATAATTAAATGTGCCTTTACGCTCATGTATTTGTCTCTTCTATGGATAAACACCATTTATGTCACATTTATAGATAGAGCTGTGTTTTTGTGCTTCCCTAATGACATTGCTTCCTAGCATGTACAAACCACTTGTAGAAATACTTAACAATAAAATGTTTTCCATTTACCATGTATTATGTGTCATCTGTTGTGTTTGACCTCATTTTTATTCCGTGTGTGTATGTGAAGTCACAGCACCAGAGACAAGTCCTTAATGGTTGCTTAGGATACCTTGCTGTGATTACATCCATTTCACATTTTCTTTATTTACCGTGCTTATACATCAAGATAAAATAGATATGCAACCTAAGGCTTTGCTGTGTTAGTAATAAAGACATCCATTCAAGGTTTGCTTAGAATCTGGTGTAATGTAGTACTTCATGTACTCATTTGGCAATCCAGGCAAACTAATTTCCATAGCAACCAAGGTTCCAGTCTCTATGATACAGTGCATCCAGAAAGTATTCACAGCGCTTAACTTTTACCACATTTTGTTATGTTACAGCCTTTTTCCAAAGTGGATTAAATTAAATTTTTCCCTCAACATTCTACAAACAATACCCCATAATGGCAATGTGAAAGAAGTTTGTTTTTGAAATCTTTGCAATTTATTAAAAATAAAAAACAAAAAAAAACGTAAGTATTCACAGCCTTTGCCATGACACTCAAAATTGAGCTCTGGTGAATTCTGCTCCCACTGATCATCCTTGAGATGTTTCCTCAACTTGATTGGAGTCCATCTGTAAGGGACCGCCCGGCGGTACCACTAGCACTCCACTGAATAGGCGTCCCCAGCGCACGGAGTCTAAGTCCCAGGGTGCTTGTTCACCAGGGCCCCTGATGGTGGGGATGGACTTGGAGCCCCCTGAGACCAGGTCGTGGCTATTGGGTGCGTCCGTCAGTGGTATGCGCCGAGGGCTCCCACGGGAGAGAGTCTGATATGAGGAGGTCAGAAGACCCCACTGCGAGGGATGAGCGGATGGATGGATGGATGAGCAAGGTCAGACGGGCCGGGTCGGTAACAGAGAGGACGGTAAGGTACAAGGCAGCGGGCATAGAATGGTTGGGTCACACGCCAGGTCAGCAACAGCAGGTCAAATCCAATAG